GCCCATAAGCATGTTCCGAGGCTCCGCCACCCTGCCCGCCCCTGTCCAGGCCTGTGGGCCACCGTGTGGACACCTGAGACGAGTGTGGCCCCTTTCCACGGCCACTGCCCTCTTGAGGCTTCACTGCTTGCCGCTAGGACAGTGGCAAGACCCCCTTCGACCTTACTGTCTCCCTGCGTCCTGCACAAGCTGCATTCAGGTACTGGTCCTGACGCCCAGCTCCAGCCCTGGCCCTTCCCCAGCTCAGCAGCCTTCAGTGGTTCCCCATAACTTTGCAAATTAAGAACCCTATCCTTCAGCTTTCCGGCACAAACTGCGTCCCTGTTCTCCAGCCCTCCACCCCGCCCAGGTCCTCCCATCAGGGGCCACACAGGACCTCCCTCACCGCCCCCTCATCTCCACGACTGGCGGAAGAGCGGAAACAGCCTCACCCTGTTCGCAGCCAGAGAATCAAGACCCCAAACACCCTGGTTTCCTTCTTATACTCTTCACCAAGCCAGCCAGCCAGACGAAGGTCCAGAAAGACCAGGTGCCCACGGGAGGTGAGGAACGGGAAACTGACACGGCCAGTCTGGAGAGTCTTTCTGAAGTGCTCGTGATCCAGAGTCTGTGTAGATCCATACCCCAGGAGTGCTGCTGGGGCGGGGGGGACATGCACCCCCAGATGACTCTCCCGCGCATAGGTCTGTTCATCCTGACATGATCCACAGCAGTGGAGAGCTGGCAGCAACCCCGAAGTCCCCTAATAGGGGGCTCACTATCCTGGGGGCACGTCTCTTCCTGGATTTCTTATCCTATGATCTGACCATCCATCCGCTGGCCAGAGAGATGGGGTGCAAGCCCCTCCCCCTTGCACCCCGGGGGAGCTGTGACGTGAAAGCAGAGTAGGGCTCGGAATTCCCTTGACATTCCATGCCCCTCCCACGCACACCCCACCCTCGCACCCAGGGTACTGAGAATCGGTGTGGTGAGGAAGCCCAGGCAGAGGGGTCCCTTCTCTGACAGCAGCGTCAGCTCCCAGATAAAGGAGCCACGTGACCTTCAGTAAAGTCCCCTCCCCCTAAGCTGGGGCCCAGACCCCATGCAGTGGAGACAACCCACTCCAATCTATATATGCCATGATCACTCTGGTAAATGGTTGCTTTACACCCTGAGTTGAGGGGAGATGTGTGATTGGTCCGTGGTGACTGGAACAAAGGCATCTCTGACTGCGGTGGTTAGAAAATCACTGCTACATTTATCAGTATCAAATTCCTAGTTTCAGGTGATAAAACTGTGAGATGGAGGGGGTATACAGTAGATACCGCTTCTGTAGATTCATCCCAACAGCAGGGATGTGGGGTGGCATGCAGTGAGGTGAGGACAATTGGAATTCGGATGAGGGATGAAAGGAAGCAAAAGCAAGGTGAAATCTGAATTGTAAGGAGGCATTCTCTAAAATTATTCTGAAAGGAAAAAGTTTATTAAAAAAATACATGACACGGGAGGGGGGATCAGGATGGGGAACACATGTAAATCCATGGCTGATTCATGTCAATGTATGGCAAAAACCACTACAATATTGTAAAGTAATTAGCCTCCAGCTAATAAAAATAAATGAAAAAATAAAAAATTTTTTTAAAAAGAGAGAAAAAAAATACACGACAGGCAGTGGCTGCTGCAGCTTGCTGACTTCTGATCTATGTTCTTAGGATTATTCCCACCAGCTCCCTCCCCCTGGTTCAAGCGGCACCTTTGAACACTAGGGCTGGGCTAGGAGGTGACAGGTTCTCGGTGCCCAGTTAAGAAGAGCGCCCCTTAGACTGTGTCGCTGAGGCTTTTCCGGTGGTCCCGCCGCAGAGCGGGGACCTGGTGGTGGACGGAGGATAAGGAAAGGCGAGAGTGGACCGGGCAGTAAGGGAGGGCGGCCGTGGCTCGGGGGTGCGGGGTGCCTCAGAGACATGCCACCCACCCATAGGTGTCAGCCTGCGAGCTGGAGGAGTCTCCACTCATCTGCCATTCTGCGCGCTGCCTGAAGGTGACCAGAAACTTCCCTGGGAGCGTCAGAAACCTGCTCAGGGCTGTGAGACTTTGGAGCCCAGCTCCAGCGAGCACCCCACTGTAAGATACCCTCCTGGGTTGAGTGTGATCAACCGAAGCCGCCAGCCGGTTCTGCCCCTGCGCGCCAAGCCTCTGCCCACAAGCCCCGCCGCCGAGCTCGGGCTCCTCTCCCCTCCAAGTGGGGCAGGATCCGCTCCGGGACAGCATGGAGCACAGAGGCTGCGGCCTGGGTTAGCGCCTGGGCGGCTGTGTCACGCCTCCCTACCCGACCCAGCGACTCCGCTCGCCGCAGAAGCCCCTCGAGACCCCCGCTCTGCCCCCAGGAGGAGCATCCGCAGTGCCGGGACCCAGCGCCCAGGCCCGCGGAGGGGATGCGTGCTTCAAGCCCCCGAAGGCCAGTGCTTGGGAGAAAGGCCGGCTCTCTTCCACCCGGTTCCCCTCACCCCGCCCCCGCGCGCGTGCTCCCGAGGCGGTGGAAAGAAATCAGGCAGCCCCCGCTAATATGTGGCCCGAGCCCCGGCCCCACTCACCACAGCCTGGCACAGGCAGGGACGCTTACCATCGGAGGTTTACAGGAGAGGAAACAGGATCAGAGAGGCGAGGCACCCTGCCCAAGGCCACTCAGCCCTGGCGTCAAACAATTGAAATCCAGACTCTGACGAACGCTCTCTCCCGCCCCCGCCCCCGCCCCCGCCCCCGCTCCCGCTCTTCTGAAGGTGCTAGGAAACCGCGGAAGTGGCAGCCGGCTCTTGGTCTCAAAATCTGTGCGCTCCGGCGCCACTGACAGCCAGGCCCAGGGAAACCCGTGTAGGGCAGGAGGGCACCTGGAGGGCATCTTCCTCTCCCGTGTCGTTTCCTCCAGGCCTCTCTTTGGCCTCAGTTTCTCCATCTCTCAGAAGCCCCTCGAATTCGATGGTGGGGTTAGAAGAATAGTGCGTCTCTCTCAAACAGACAAACAGAGGGGGCAGTCGTTTCTCCCCGTGGCCACCCTCCTCTGGCTGGGGACCTCTTTACCCTGGCGTCTCCCAGACCACGGGCGCCCCAGGGAGCAGGGAGTGGGGGACCACAGCTCTTCCCTGAGACCCAGGCTCGCCCGCTTTGGCTCTGGGTCCTCACCCAGGCAATGGAGTTAAACAACGAAGTAAGTGCCTGTGGTTGGTCATCGCAGCCCCTCCTGGGCGGCGGGACGTGAGGGTCGGGGAGACGGCCCTGGAGCCTGCATAAAAGACGCGAGTTCTCCAGGCCGCAGGGCACCAGAGGTCCTTCCCGGCACTCGCTGTTTTGTTTCCCAGCCACGGGCCGGCTGCCTCCCTCCGCTAGGCCTCAGCCCCGCCCGGCCTCCCGACCGCTGCTCTTCGCTCCGGTTCGACTTCGGGGGGAGTGTCGGTACCAGAAGGGTCTTAGGCCCTGAGTGTCTGAATCCCAGGCTGGCCAGAACTACTTACCATCTGGGACAGTCTCTCCTCGCCTCCGTTTTCCCCTCTGGAAAATGAGGTTGATGCTCCCTCCACCGTGGTTGTTCTGAAAACTAAATCCAGGCTGCGGGCTGCCCTCGGTTGCACGCGGCCGCCGGCTGGCCCTGGGAGGCGGCCGTATCTCTCCGCGATAACCAGCGTCGGGTGAAGCCGGCTGCGCCCGCGCGTGTCCGCGCTGCGACCCGGTGAGTCCGTCAGAAGGTTTACTCCTGAGCGGCCACAGCGCCGAGGGCAACGGCGCGGGCCGCGATGCACTGTCGTCGCCGCGCTCCCGCGGCAGACGTGGGAGGGGACGCCCCGCTGCTGACAGTCAGGCCTGCCCCCAAGACAGGGGGTGGTGGCTGTCGCTTCCCTACTAAGGCTGGGGCCTCAGGAGGAGCTGGAGACGCCCCCCCACCGCAACTCAGAGTGACGCCGGGTGTGACCCCGGACGCGTGGTCCTGCGGAATGGGATTGGGGTGGGGGGGGAGCATTTTCTTACATTTTGAGACGGAATCTGAGAACCGAAGAGTTCTGTCCTACAGCCCTACTTCTGGAATTAAAAACATATTTCATTAAGTGTAAATATTAAAATATGCCTTAATTGTGCAGCTTTGACACCCGGGATCTTTAAAAAAAAACATGTGACCAGCCCATTCTCTTGCGGTTTCTAGGAAGGCCCCGGGTCTTCCTGCCCCGGTATACGCAAGCACAAATACACATACAAGCGCACACACACACACACGTGCACACATACACATACCACACACGCTCCCGCGCGCGCGCGCGCACACACACACACACACACACACACACATTTCCTCACGCTTCGTCCAACAATCTCCCCGCGACGAGGTAATTACGGTCCTTGCCGGACAGTGATTGGCCAGTCTGTTTCTCATCGGGGCCCCGCAGCCAATGGGTGGGCCCCCGGCCAAGGCCCCGCCCCGCTCCCCCCCCCCGCTCCCCCCACCCGGCGCGGGTGGCTCGGGCCCGGGGAATGCATCACGCGGGGCCGGACTGGCTGTGACCCCACGCCTGGGCCCCAGGCCGCTTCCCCTCGGCCGCAAGACTGCCTGCGCGCCCAGGTCCGGGCGGTGTCTCCGGGCGGTGGTGGCGCGCGGGGCTCGCGCTGAGTCTTCGAGCTGAGCCGGGCGGCCGCCGGGCCCGCGCCGCCCCGCCCCTGCTGGCCCCTCCCCTCCCCTCCCCGCCCCCAGCTGGGCCGGCCCGGGCGGCGACCAGCGCGGCGACGGGAAAGGCGAGCGAGGCGGCTGCCCGGCCGGCTGTCGGCACGCACCCGCTCCTGGCCGATCGCAGTCCGGCAAGGAGGCCGCTGCCTGCCCCGCAGGGCCCGACGCCAGCGCTCCGGGCAGCGGCTCTAGGGCCGGCCCGCGCGTGCGCCAGAAAGTCGCGCGCCACGGTCCCCAGAGGGAACCGGGACCGGCCGCGCCCCGGGCGCCCAGAACCCCGAAGAGTCCGGCAGAGTCCGACGGACCCGCGGCCGCGATGCCGGACGAGCTGACGGAGCCCGGGCGCGCCACGCCGGCCCGCGCCTCCTCCTTCCTCATCGAGAACCTGCTGGCGGCCGAGGCCAAGGGCGCCGGGCGCGGGGCCCAGGGCGGCGGCGGCCGCGAGGAGGAAGAGGACGACGACGACGATCCGGAGGACGAGGACGCGGAGCGGGCGAGGCGGCGGCGGCTGCAGCGGCGGAGACAGCTGCGCTCGGGCCCCGGGCCGAGCGGGGAGGCGCGGGCCCGCGCGCTGCTTGGGCCGGGCGCGCTGGGCCTCGGTCCCCGGCCGCCCCCGGGTCCCGGGCCGCCGTACGCGCTGGGCTGCGGCGGCGCCGCGCGCTGGTACTCGCGGTCTCACGGAGGCTACGGAGGCGGCCTTAGCCCTGACAGTGAGTGGGGCATGGGGAGGGGTGGCCTGGGTGGTGGGGCCCGGCTTCCTCCCGTCGCATTTGCTCCGGGACTTAGGGTTCCTTGGCGCCCTTTCTGGGCCGCCCTCCTCCTGTGTCTGTGGTGGGCTCTGGGGTCGTGTGGGGAGAGCCCCTGGTTGAGCAGGTTTGGAGGCCCATTCTCCAGGGCAAGGTCCCCCACGCAGGGAGAAGCTTTGGCAGGGTCTGGGTTTCGCCCACGGCCTTGGGAGAGCAATCTGGGGACAGGGGACAACAGCTAAGAAGAGGAAAGAAAGGGAGGGTGAAATAGAACCGACAACAGGACACGTGGGGGGGGGGGACACGGTGGGGAGAGGCAGAAGCAAAGGGGGAAGAACAGAAGAAAGATGTTGGGAGACGAGGAAGGAGAGGTGGGGAAAGAGAAGATGAGAAATAGAAAACTGAAAAGAAAGCCCTAAGTGATGGGGAGACAGAGAAAAGATTAAGGGCGGAAGGACAGGGGATCAGAAGACACGGTAGAGTCAAACTCAGCAAAATGAAGGGGGCACGGTGCGGGGGCGGGGGGGGAGCCCCTGCTCTGGAGCTCGGGGTAGGGGACGGTGGTCTTCCACAGAAGCTGTGTCTGCAAAGCCCTGTCTCCTCTTGAAGCCACAGAACGGGCCTGGGGCAGGGGCCTAGATTTCCCTGTTGGATCTCCACGGCCCCCTGGCCATGGCTGTGCCAGGCAATGAGGCTGTGTTCCGAAGCCCCCCTCTCTCTCCTTTCTCTGCCCCTCCCCCTCCCTTGCCTTTGTTCCCTGCTGAGAGCTCCGAGGCTGGGGGTGGCGGTTTGCAGCCCCAGAAACCACTCACCCCTCTTGCCCGGGCACTCTGGAGGTGCGTTCTGCTCTCCCCCTCCCCAGGGTGGCTGCCTCCCTTGGGGCCCTGCCCTTTGGAGGATGACCCCCACAAGCAGGACTAGGAAACTATGCTCACCTCAGCCCTGGGCTTTGCCAGCCCCCGCCCCCTGCACCCCGAAGTGTACCCTGCGAGGCCAGCGGAGGACTCAGGCTCCTGCTCTGTAATGCTTTCAGCTCCTAGCAAAAGTTAGCACAAAAAGAGTGCTGTGGGTTGGGGTGGGGGTGGGGGTTAGACCCCTGTCACCGCTTGGATAACCCCTTCCTTGGTGTAGGAGTGGGCGCTTTTAAGAGGGACCCACCTCTCAGAACCTATACCCAGAAGGTCCGGGGCCCCCTACCCTCTTCATTTCGCTTCCAGGAAACTTGAGCAGGCCTCTTTGGTTATTTGCCCTGAAACTGAGTGATCAAATGTAGTGACCTTCTGGGGGTGTTTCTGAAAGGGTCTCACAGGGTGAAATGTGTTCCCTTCCTGCCCCTGGAGTTTTGCCCCAGCCCCAGGCGCAGCCCCAGCCCCACCAGCAGCCCCCAGAGACATGCTCCTTCCTAGTTCGTATAACGCGGGTTGGGGGTCCCTGTTTTGTACCAGAGCTGGCAGGCCTGGCTCGGCTTCCTGTGGCAAAGCAAGGGTCTCTGAATCTGGGGACCCCCCCATGGTGCACATGCCAGCCTGGAACCTGACCCCTCTTTGGACACAGTGGGGGCTCACACCCCTGGCACCTGCTCAGCTGCTGGGTGTGGGGTGTATGCACCAAGCTGCTCACACCAGCTCACCAGTGTCTGTCAGGCGCTCACTCTGGGGGCACACCGCTGCTTTTGGTGGGCCGGCCTGGCCAGACTCGTTGACTGTGGGAATGCTGACCCAGGGCCTGTGTGCATGCAGAGGCGGAAGGGACGCTGGCCTGAGTCGGCCTCACAAGCCCGGAAGTCAGGCAGCTGCCCCCTTTCAAGCTGGGCTTGGAGTCTGGACCAGCATCTGGGTCCTGGGCAGGCTCTCTCACCTGAACCATCATCCTTTGCCAGCCCTAGGGGTGGGGGGTGGGGGTGAGGCATCACCTCACTTCTGGAGGTGGAGCTTGGTTCTTGCAGCATGAGCTGGGGTGAGGGGACTCTGGGCTTCTCTACCCCACGCCCTCAGGTTCAATCAAGGCCTCACGGGCTTGGGGTGGCGTGTGGGAGCTGAGTGTTTCTACACAGTCAGAGCCTTCTGAGCTGACTGCGGGCAGAGAGGGCACACCTCTGTGGACATCTGGATTAGGGGCACAGGGGTGAACACGGGGGTGAACAGGCCACCCGTGTCACCAGGGAGGAGTTTTGTTGGCCAGTCATCTGCATCCGCTTATTCTCCATTGATGGGAATGTTTCCATGCAAGCGGGAATTCTGCATCTTCTCCTAGGAGTGAGTGGGGAGGGATCATGGCAAGTCTTTATTTCTGGGTCTCGGGGGCTTGGTGGAGGGCTGAGTGCCAGGGGTGAGGTGGTCTCTCTGCTGGTTTTCCGGGTGTATATTTCTCAGAAGGACCTTTCTTTCCTCTGTGAGGTGAACCCCTGGGGCTGTTGAGTGCTGTTTTGATTAGAAGCCAGTGATTATGGGAGCCAGTCTTTTTCGTGTGTTTCTGTTTGTGTTTTGGTGTTTCTTTTCTTCCCTTTTTTCTTCTCTCTGTGGATGCGCCTGGAGCGTGTTCCCAGCGTGTTGGTTTGGAGCCTAGCTCAGGTCTTCAAGTTCACCTCTGGATGTCCAGCCTCTCTTGGTTCTGGGGGGGTGAGATATACCGAGCGTGGTGGAGGACGACCCGCCGCCATCGGTGGAGCTGTCTGGGGACTGTTCCCTTGCTGTGGTCGTGGGAGCCCTCACGGGGTGCGGGGAGCAGCTGGCTTCAGCGACAGGTTCGGGCTGGGGGGGGCGGGGTGGCGCTGGGAATCAGCCTCCAGAACCAACCCGGGTTCCTTCTCCTTTCCCCCCTGCAGCCAGCGACCGGGACTCACCGGAGACGGGCGAGGAGATGGGCCGCGCAGAGGGCGCCTGGCCGAGGGGCTCCGGGCCGCGAGCGGTGCAGCGAGAGGCGGCGGAGCTGGCGGCTCGGGGACCGGCGGCCGGCGCGGAGGAGGCGGCGGAGCTGGCCGAGGCCCCTGTGGCGGCGGCGGCGGCCGCCGGGGAGGCCCGCGGTGGGGTCGGCGGCCGCAAGAAGAAGACGCGCACCGTCTTCTCGCGCAGCCAGGTCTTCCAACTCGAATCCACCTTCGACCTGAAGCGCTACCTGAGCAGCGCCGAGCGCGCCGGCCTGGCCGCGTCCCTGCAGCTCACGGAGACGCAGGTCAAGATCTGGTTCCAGAACCGACGCAACAAGTGGAAGCGGCAGCTGGCAGCCGAGCTGGAGGCGGCCAGCCTGTCCCCGCCGGGCACGCAGCGCCTGGTCCGCGTGCCTGTGCTCTACCACGAAAGCCCCCCGGCCACCGGGGCCGCCGCCTCCGCCGCGCTACCCTTCCCGCTGGCCCCCGCCGCGCCCGCGCCGCCGCCGCCGCTGCTCGGCTTTTCCGGGGCCCTCGCCTACCCGCTGGCCGCCTTCCCGGCTGCCGCCTCCGCGCCCTTCCTGCGGGCGCAGATGCCCGGCCTGGTGTGAGCATCCCCGGCCCGCCGGGCCCACGCCCGGAGGCCAATCCGGACTTGTGCGGAAGCGCCCGCCGCGGGCGTGGCGGCAGCGGTGGAGCCTGGGGGCCTTCGGTCGATCGGAGGTTAGGGGGCGCTCCGGTGGACCCCCTGAGCCTCCGGAGCGCAGGCTGCCGCCTCCGGGCCGTGCTCTACGCCTATCCGAGGATCGGCCAGAATGTACCAGAGACGCAGGTGATTGTGGCTCCACAGACAGTCGCTAGGCTGGCTCCCCGCTGGGAAGACAGCCTCACAGACAGTCAGTCGGCCCTGCAGCCCAGGGTCCCCCCCCTCCCGGGGACAGGACTCAACCTCTGAGCAAACCCAGCTCCCGCCCCTCCGGAGTCAGCAGCTGGGCGCAGTCAGAGGCAAATCCAGGCTGTCCAAGATGCTTTGTGGAAGGGCCCACTCTTCCAGGCTCAACGACCTTTTCCCGGACTATGCACCCACGACCTGGGGAGCACTGTCATCAGCCTGATGGCCTTGACCTTGTCTCCTGGCAGAGAGAGAGATTCCCAGGGAGTGAGTCCTGGTGAGGGGAAGGGATGAAGATCCTGGCAGGTGGTGCTTCCGTCAGATCAGATCGTCCATCCTGAAGGCAGGGCTCCTCTCCGGGCTGCAGTCCCTGGTTATCCCCGCGAAGACTTTTTTTTTTTTTTAAACGAATCTACTTATTTGCGTATGGAATAAAAAGGGACATTTTCTGGACAGTTGCTGCTGCTTTGTGATCCCTGGGGCTGAGCTCCTCTCTGGTGATGCACTGTGGTGGGCGCCATCCCCAGCCTCCCGGAGCACCTTCCGGTACTGGCCCGGGGCAGGTGGGTAGGTGGGCAGGGTGAGCCTCCACTTTCCCCAGACAGGGAGGCCCAGCGAGACCTTAGGGGAAGTCAGGGTTGGGGAGGAGAGGGACCTAGAGTAGAAGAAGGGACGCCCCCCCACCCAATCCCCTGTCGCTCAGTTCTGGGACCTTCAGTACAACCAGAAGTCAGGAGTCGGGCGAAGGCAGAACCTAGCACTTGGCCCAGGGGGCTGCCAGCTACGTGAGCCCCTGCACCCACAGCTCCTTCTTGCCCTGGAGCTGAGAGTCATCTCTGACACGGGGTGGGGGGGCTGGGCTAGGAGCAGGGTTCTCTGGCCGGGGCCTCACCCCCTGGACCATCGGCAGTCTCTCTTGAACTGAGGGACTCAGACCCTGGGCAAGGTCCGGAGTTTACGGGCTCTGAGTGAATGCTTATTGCTTAGCTTGTTGCCGTGGCTGCATCTCTGCAGCCAGCCTGTTGCAGGGTGGAGATAGTGGTCTCCTGCGTGAGGGAAAGATGCTTTATGGGGTGTGCTGCTCAAGCCTGGGGAGAGAAGACATCTGGTTGCTTGAAAGGGTCACTCCTGAGACAGAATGGACCCCCCGCCCCAAACCTGTCTTCACCCCAATGGCTTCAGGTCTTTGAGTGGAACAGACACTCCTGGGCTGAGATGCGGACTGAGATGCACAGCTCGCTCGGTCCCTAGGTCTGGCCCAAGGAGTTTTCAGCAGTGGCGCCAGACAGCCCAGAAGAAGGCGCCACGGGGGTTCCCCCCCCACCCCCGTGGGGGAAGGAGGTCCATCTGTCTGCCCCTGCAGCCCAGCTCCCTGACCCAGAATCATCCCCTGCCCCAGCCTTCCAGTGCCCTAAGGCTGGGGGCAAGCTGGGAGGGGGCCTCTGGGGGACGGTGGGGGTGGGCAGCCTGGGGCCTAGGTGGTCCCCACCTTCAGGCTCCCAGGGCCCAACCACAGCAGGCCCCTGAGAGCCTCACAACTCACCTCCAACCTGACCCCCACCGTTGCTGCAGTTCCTCCCTTTGAGGGTGGGACCTGCTCTTCCCAGAGAAGGGAAGAGCTGCCCTTTCCCCATCGTTTTCACTGGACTTTGTCAGGAGGGACTTGCCATCTGTTTCGCTACAGTGAGCTGGCTCCTAGCTATCTCTAGAAGCCTTTGGTCCAGACCAGAGGCCACGGGTGGAAGTGTGTGCCAAGAAGACCTCTCAGCAGCAGTGGCATCTCTCCTTCCTCCCTCTCTCTCTCCCACTGGGCCTTTGCGCACTCTTGGCTGGGGCTCCACGTGGGACCCTGGCCCTCTGACCCTCTGGGGGTGGCCTCACACGGTCAGCAGACATACCCCTGCTGGCTCTCCGAGAGGTGTGCTCCAGTATGCCTGTGCAGAGCTGGCCGCACAGGCCAGCGCAGGTCCCCAGCTGCGCACGAGGCGGGCAGCCGGGCGGTGTCTCGGCTCTGCTCCTGGCCTGCGGCACCGCACCCCGGCACCGCGCGGATACACGGCGGCGGCGGGCGGGGTGGGGGGGGGATTCGGCTACTTCCCGGATCCCGGGCACTCGGACCACGAATGGGATCATTAAAACCCAGGTGAAAGACGTGTGGCCAGCGATGCAACCGTTGGATTCGACTCTTTGGTGGCTCACGCTGGCGCGGTCCCCAGGTCGTGGCGACCAGACCGACCGCAGGGCGCAGTGGAGCACGGTGTGGCGCCCACGTCCCCGGGCGGTTCTCCCGCCGCGGCGGGCCGGTCCGCACCAATGATGGCTCCAGGCCGGCTGGGGAGCCGCGTGGCACCGGGGCCACAGGCAGCGAGGGGCTGTGGGCCCCGTGTCCAGACCCTCCGATCTGCCCACCCGGAAGGAGCGAACCTGGCCGCTCGGCCTGGGACTGCCGCCGGGGTCAGAGAGGTTTCTGCGCGTCTGAAGGACTGCCTGGTTCCGCGGAGGCAGAGACAAGGTGGGCCGGAGAGCCGCTTCCTTGCCTACCAGCTCCAAGCTCCGCTGGGTGGGAAGGAAGCAGGAGGTGGAAGGGAGGCTTGTTCCCCCTTTGAGGGAAGGGTCGGGAGCTAGAAGTCTAACGCTGAAGTCCAGAAAGTGGATCCAAACGGGGATCAGGCCAGCGGGACTCCGGGAAGCTGGTTTTACGCCGTAATTACCCAGCGTGCGGAGTGTCCCACCAGGGGCCGCACAAACCACAGCGAAGCCGGGGGCGGAACAGGCAGCCCGAGGGGGTCGGGGTCCAGGCTGGGGACAAGCCGGGCTCCAAGCTCCAGCGCCATCAGGGCCCCTCGGCCTCACCCAGGTGCATATTGGCCCCGCTCCTGGTGGGGGATGGATGACCTTGGTCTGTTTCTGCCCCGCGTGCCTTGGTTCTCTCCAGCCCTCCAGCCCTAGCTTCTCCTTACAGGAAGCCTGATTCCAGCCACCGTGGGTTGCCTAGGGCCTTCTACTGCAGAGTCCCCGAGCCCGGCTGGGTCTACCAGGCTTTGAACACCTGGGCGGACCTGCAAGTTTCCTTACCAAGTTCGCGCAGAATCAGACCTGCTGAAAGGGACAGGCAGGTCCTATTCTCCACCCCACCGCCCTCCCCCATCCCCCCAACTCCCCTCCCTTTCCCTTCCCTCCTTCCCCTCCCCCCATGGTTGCTCTTTGCCCCCCGCCCCACCTGGCCACTCCAGATTCTGGTTGAGAGCTAGCAGGCAGCACCTGAGCTCACCTCCACCCGCCTCGTCCAAAGCCCTGGTGAGGGGCTGATGAATTCTCCAGGAATTGCCCTTCCCCTAGCTGGCAGTTTCCCACCTGCACTCTGCCCGTGGGGATCCACAGACTCCTACCCACCCAGGGTCTCCCTTCCTCATCAGGTACAGGTCAGGGGCTGTCCATGCCCCACCCCCAACCTCCTCCCCAAAAGCTTAGCTTGGCTTCAGGGGGAGAAGATTCCCAAGAGTCTTGGCACTCTGGACCTACCCAGAAGAAGGGGACCCACCTGGGCGAGAAGGAAGGGGCTGAGAGTGGTCAGCTGGGGCCCAAGAGGGAGACACCAGGGCCAGGCCAGCTCCCGTCTGCAGGTGTCTCCCAACCATCCTTTAAGGCCTTCTGGCCTCACCTGGAGATTCTCCCAAAGGGAAACTGGGGCTTTGAGGCCAGAGACCCTGAGGCAGGGACTCCATGAAGTAAGTATCTTGGCCGCTCAGGCCCAGAGGCCCTTTCCCGCACCTGGCACTGCTACTATGGAGGCCAGGTGCCCTGTCCAGGGGTGACTCTTCCCTGATGGCCTGCATGCTCCGGGGGCCAACCGGAATCAATTGGATCATATCCTTTGGCCGCCCTCACTGCAGGCGTTCACAAGAGAAGGGTCCCTAGCCTCCTGCATTCGTTAGCTATGCAGGAGGGATGCCTGAACTTAGGGTTCCAAGGCACGTCCCCAAGGCGACTCACCCCACAATCGGATACAAAGACCAGCTGCTCTCTTGAGGGGAGAGAGACTCTTCTATATGGATAGATTGGAAAGGGGGCCACCCTGTTCTGATAACACTGAACTTTGGATCCAGACACTTGGGCCAAAGATGCAAAGAGAAAGATCTGGAACCAAGAGTTAGTCTCTGGGTTCACCACCTGGAGAGCAAACAGGTGAGCAGAGGGCTCCTCCCTGGCCAGCTCCCACAGCTGTTGCCTTCAGTTTATGTTTGTTTGTTTTGCTATAAAAGTGATAATGCTTATTATTATCTGGCAACTGCAGAAAAGTCAAAACAGAAATAATTTGCCTGCATTTCCACCATCAAAAGTCAACTGCTTCTAAGTGTGAGATGAAGCTGTGGATTTATTGAGACAATTTATAGTTGTATTGTTAATTTTAAAATTCTTGTGAGTTGAAGATGCACTCAACTATTTATCAGTAAAATGATGTGATGTCTGCGTTTGTTTGAAGAGTACTGCCACAAAAACAAATTAATTGAATAGTAAATAGGAGGGAGACACACATGATTAGCCAAGCATTGATCATTGTTGAACGGAGGCGGGTACATGGTGGGGGGGTTTCATTTCAGGTCTTCCTCTATTTTGTTTTATATTTGAAAACTTCCAGAATAAAAATGCTTTAACACCTGACTTCGCAGAAATGTCACCTGTGTGTACTCCTAGCGGCGGATTCTCCGCCCTGGGCCGTTTTTGTTACAGGTTTATTTTCATAGGATCGCCATCTGACCTTGTTTGCACCCCGCTTGCTTTTTTGTTCTCCCCATGCTTACTTCGAAATGTGCATTTAAAACCCATTAATTCGGTCTCCGCAGACATGCTTCATTAAGTCTTCAACCTCTCTCTCTCCCGGAACCTGTCCCTGCCCATCTCTCCCCCACTGGCCCTGGCACCCCTCTGGGTGCCGGGGCCGCCATCACCTCCGCCCGGGAGGCCTCCAAGAGCCGCGGAAGACTGGTCTGCGCTGCCAGGCGTCGCTGGCGCCGCCTCCCGGCCCTCGCGGTGGGAGTCGCCCGCGGACCGGGGTCCCCCGCAGCCCGTGCAGCCCAGATCCCAGGTCCGACCCCGCTGCCAGTTCGGGGGACTAAGCCCCGCAGCCGCCCCTCTGGCCCTGGGTTCGCCTGTGCGGTGTCTCGGAGCCTCCTTGACGCTCTCGGCGCCCGGGTACGCGGCGCCGAGACTAAGACTAAACTGGTGGGGGGGGGGGGGTGGGGTGCGGGTGTGTGTGTGTGACTAAGGCTGGGGGGGGTGGGGGCAGATCCCTGGAGGACATGTGGGGGAGAGGCTCACGTGCTCGGAGCTCCGTCCGGAGAGACAGACCGGTCCGAAGGGCGCTCTCCATCCCCGGGAGACGCGGTGCGCTCTCTGCATCGACACCGCGAAGCCCCTGGCGGGGCGGGGGGCTTCTGGGATGCGGGCGACCCAACCCTGAATTGCGGTATTCCCCGGGGTCTCGCTGACCCCGCCCCCGGAGCGGGGTCAGACAAGCCCAACCCGCAGGACCTCGGCCCCGCCCGGCCGGCCGCGCGCTTCCCTGCCCGCTCCGCGTCTCTGCTTCGGTCCCCTCCGCCTCTGCGTCTCTCGTCTCCATTCTTGTCCGCGCGCTTTCCTCCTCCGGGGCTCGGGAGTCGGCCGGTGCGTCGTCTCTGCTGTCGCGCGGCCTCCTGGGCTCCATCGCCCCCCTCTCCGGGACACGATTACCTCCTCATTCGATCAGCCCCAGGTAGGAGTCTGGGAGGCTGGGACCCCCGCCTTGAAAGGGCGGAAGAACGCGCCCCTCGGACGCGGCGGCGCAAGGACCCCCTGCCCGCCGAGGCCCCGCGTCGCCTCGATCGGGCTGCTGGGAGTCCGGGTCGCCGCCTCGAGTCCGGATCCCGCGCCTGCCCCTCTGGGGGCTCTCGATCCAAGTTCTCCCCTCGCCTGGCCCGAGTGTCCCCCCTCCCCGCCCCGGGCTGACCGAGCTTAAAGGAGAGACACGGGCAGTGGCGCCAGCTCCGCGGCTCCCGGGACCCCGCGGGCGGCTGGCGCGGAGCGGCCGCCTTCTGCTCCCCGGCCGCCGGGCTTCGGAGCGCTAGGCCGGCCTCGCTGTGGACCCTCCGAGCCCGCAGCCCTGTGGGGGGGACGCCCCCTCCCCGAAGTCCTTCCGGCCCCGCCTCCCCGCTTCCCGCAGGCGCCCCCCGCCCCCCGCCCGGCTCACCTGGCGTCGCCTCGGCGTCTCGGAGTCTGGCTCGGCCTTCGCGCCCCGCCCCTCGGTTCTCACCTCGCCCCTTCCCGCTCCCCTTCCCCCTCGAGCTCCGCGCGCGCGTCCACGCTGTCCCGGAGCCGGCACCTCTGACGCCGAGCTCTAGCCCAGAGGCCCGGGGCTGGGGCCGGGGCCGGGGAGGAGGGAGGTGCCTGAGTTCTCCCGGGTTCCTGAAGGCTTCTTGGAGGAGACAGCATTAAACCCGCAGAGAGGGGAGGAGCTGCGGGCGGCCGTGCGCAGGTGGAGACGGCAGTTCGCCTGAGTCTCCGACCTTGGTGTGGGCATCTCCCCCCTACCCTCCGCTCTGTGCCGTCTGGCCCTCGGGACGCCTCCCGCCCCCCCCCCCCCCCCAAGCACTCTTCCCTCCCAGAAAGATGGGGCGCGGATTTAAGAGTGCCCAACCGTGCTCAGCCTTCACCGGCCGTCTGCGTGGATTCATGAAAGTCATTTCCCCTTTCTGGGCTCACCTTGCCCATCTGTGGAGTGGGTAGGTGGCAGTGGTGAAGGTCGTGCGGCCTAATGGCAAGAACGCGGGCTCAAGGCTTGCTGCTGGGCACACAGCCTTCTGCACCGACAGCACCCTTCTGCACCGCCTACCGCCCACCCGCTCAACTCACAGGTTCTCTTTCTTTGGCCTGTGCAGGGCAGGCCACGTGGTTCCGGCTGGGTCCTGAGCGCCTAGTCAAGTCGCTCCCACCCCCATTGGCGGGCCTAGTCATGATCACACTGGGGCTCCAGGGACACCTGAGCCCCACCTGCCTGCCCACCCTGGCCCCGCAGGAGGGTGCATTGTATGAGCAACAGGCCACAGAACGACAGCTGCACCCAAAAGCCAGCACCGCCCCTCTAGGGCCCAAGCTCCCACACTCCCGCACCCATAAATCCTCTGACCTTTGCCCCCTTCCCAGTGGAGACCCAGGCTGTCCACGCGCGTGTGTCCCCTACGCCTGGTCCATCACACCCACCACAGGCAACTGAGAGCTATAGCCAAGGGGCTGGGGCTGGAGAGGAGGGGGCCTCCTGAGCCTCCGGGTCCTCTTCCTTTCCAGCTGCCCAACTGGCCTCAGAGATTCGACATCCAGAGGTGGACACAGATCCTGGCCCAGAGCGTTGGGCCAAGGGGCCCTGCTCCGCTGTTTCTTCCAGGAGCTCGTGGTGGATGGCCCTTGCTAGCATCCATGTTACCTTGGGGCTTTTTTGGAGCTGGGAGCTGATCTAGCTCTTTACCCAGATTGTCTCAGGGCATCCCCCTAACACCTGGCTGGCGAGTGGTGTCCCCGGTTTATGAATGAGAATTCAGGCCCCACCCGACTCCAGATCACGAAGACCAGCGCGTGGGGGAAGACAGAGCTGGGTCCAGCACTCTTTCCAGCGAGGAAATGACACAAGCCAGTGCATGTGCTCCAGAGCTCAGCCCTGTGCGTGGCCGGCTGCCTTGGTGGGGCTCTGGGAAGATGCGGGGTGAGGGCAGCCAGCCCGCTCAGAAGAGAGGCGGCTTCTCAGAAGAGAGGCGACTTCTCAGAAGAGAGGCGACTTCCGCGGTTCAGTTCCTCCCACCCCAGCCCTCCTCGCTGCTCCCCACAACAGCCCACCTCGCCCACCAACAGCCCACTTCTCCCTATTCCAGTGGACTTCCTTTCCCTACCTCTGTCCCCCACGTGGGTTGGGGGCGGTGCCTCTGTACCCAGACTGCCCCAGGGAAGGCCCCACATGGTGGAGCGCCCCACCTTGGGATTTTCTAAGGCCCTTTGAAATGGCGGGGACCCACCAGGGCTTTAGTGGGGTCTGAGAGGAGAGCCCCAGCCCCTGGGGTCCTGAGTGGGGGAGGACTCCTGGGGGCAGCCTGGCCAGCTGCAGGATGGGAGAGGTTGGGCCGCTGGACTGATGCTGACACAGTGATTCGTGAGGATTCAAATTGTTTATGTAGACAGGGGCCCCTTAAAAATGTTCCATTGCTGTGTGTGTGGGAGGGGGAGCGGTTGGTGACAGCCTCCGGGCCCCTTTCCCAGAAAATCTCCAGCTTCCTGCAAGGGACCCTTGCTAGTCTCAATCTCATTTCCTGTGCCCATTTCACAGATACACCCAATGCGGCCCCAAGAGAGGCGGAGGCCAGCACCCCAGGAGCCTGAGGCCATGTCTCCCTGCAGGGCCAGGGGGCAGGCCCCATCCCAGGAGTGGAAGAGAGGAGGGGGCCGGGAGGCCCTGGTGGATGCGTCTCAGAAGCAGCCCATGACCGTACTGGTGCCCTTTGCTCTCAATCGGCTTTCCTCCGGGACGTCCCAAGAGTCGCTTCCCTGGAAGTCATCCTCCTGCAGGACCTGGAGGAGGAAGCACTGGGCCCCAGGACCCCCAGCTGATGATCTGAGCCTGGGGCTGGCAGTGCTGAAAACAGACCAGGGGATTGGGTGTGCGTGCGTGTGTGCGTGTGTGTGTGCATCTGTGTACGCGTGCCTCCGTGTGTGTGCCTCTGTGTGCATCTGTGTGTGCGTCTGTGTGTGTCTGCAGACCTCTCCCAGCCGCAGAGAGGGAGGCTTGACCGGCGGCTGGAGGAGGTGGTGAACTCAGGGTGCCTCTCAAGTCCTGCTGTCGCCGCGCGAGGGGAATGCCTCGGCTACTCCGGGGCCGCACATGGCTCGAGCCGGCCGGCGCCGAGGACCTGGGCCCGGGAACTGCCCGGGCCCCACCGACACTGGCCCAGGAGCGCAGCCTGTCTCACTGCCGGTTGGTTCTGCCTAAGGTCACCGCGCGCAGCTTTGATTCCCCGCCCCCCGCGCCCCCTGCCTCTTTCCGCTTCTCGGCCTCTCGCTGCCCCCCTTCCCGGAGCCGCTCTCGGGGCTCCAGCTCCGGGAACCGCAGCGTCAGCACATCCGGGCCTCGCTCGCTCGGGTTCCGAGTTTTCTTAAATCGTGAAAATCCATTTCCCCAAATGGGCGGGAGCTGAGCCTCGCTTCGTCCAGGGGCGGTCGGCCCGGCCGCCCCCTCCCCACCCCCAGCGCGACCCTCAAGGCCCGGCATTGATCCCGCAGCCTGTACACATCGCATTAGTCCTAATGGTTTTGCTGATGATTCAACTTTTTCGTTAAAAGCCGCCCCTCGGTCCTCACCGCTCCCCTGCCTCCGCCTCTGCCGGCCGCGGGCCCCTCGGCGGCGCGCCCGCCCAAAGCTTTCTTGGCTGGTAGAGACGCGGTTCCTGCAACCCGGGTCCGCCGCCCAGGGCGCGTAGAGATACCTCAAGAGGAGCCCGCTCCCCGCCGGCAGGGGCGAGGGCGGGGTGGGCGGAGGGCTTGCGGCTGTTTGGGGACCCTTGGGGACCCTGCGCTCCTCCCTGGCGCGTAAAATGCGGAGTTTAGATCGCGGTCATCCGGACACTTACGAGGTCATATCCTCGGCCTTCCAGACTCGGACCTGGGAAGAACCGTAGAAAGATCCAGAAACTGAGAAGTCCCTCACCCTCGCGGCGCCTCCGTTGCCCATTCCATCAGCGGGGAGGCCGAGGTCTGGCGACTGGCTCCAGGTCGGCGGTCACACGGGAACGGAGCTGGGCCTGAGCGCAAAGCCGAGGAAGCGCATGGCCTGGACAAGGGGAGGCCAGGGACCGCCTTCGACCCGCGCCGGCTCGGGAGGGCCCCGGGCCTTCGCGAGGGGCAGATGCCAGATGGCCCTGCCTTCCAGGGCGAAACCCGTAGCCCGCTAGGCCCTGTGGCTCCAGCCCTGCGCCAAGGGCTCCCAGCGCAATCTGTCCCGACACCTCCAGGCTGGACCAGGAGGAAACGCTCTTCGTTTCTTATTCGTTTGCTGTAGAAAATTCAAAATACATAGGCCAGAAAAAAAAGGTTAGGGCACCACAAACCTAGTTAACTACCCAGAAATAGTTTTCAATGGTTTGGGCTTTTTTCCTTATTATTTACAGGCAATACATTGTGCATGCGTGTTCAGTCACGCTGCACTCTTGCGACCCCATGCACTGTAGCCCGCCAGCTCCTCTGTCCCCAGGATTTCCCAGGCAAGAGCACTGGAGTGGGTTGCCGTTTCCTCTTCCAGAGGATCTCCCCACCCTGGGATGGAACTGGTGTCTCCTGCGTTGGCAGGGGATTCTTTATCACTGAGTCACCTGGGAACGCCCCAGATGGAACCAAGTTTGCCGTAGGAGGACTCTCCCTTCTCTCATCCTTTTTAAAAACGAAGCTAAATTTACCTACAGAGAAAAATACAGGTCTTCAGAGTACCGTTAGATGAGCTTGGACACGTGTATGCACTCGTGTACTATCATCCAAATCTTTTCTTTATAAAGAAAGGAAAGCACGCACACACACGTCTGAAAGATTTAAACTGGGAGAACTGCTGTTCTCTCTCTTTTTGAAATTTGTCAAAGTGAGGCATGCACACAATTTCAAATGCCCTCTGTTTCCACAAAGAGAATAAAAAACACCAACCAGAAAAGATTTCCCACGCCAACTCCCAGCAGAAGACACAGCTGTTCACCTTCCCAGCTCTTCCTGCTCCTAACCTGCTCACATTTCTAAATGGCACCCTCACACTGTTTCTTGATTTCATTTTGAAAAAGAAATCTAGAGATTTCCCAGGTGGCCCAGTGGCTGGGGCTCAGAGCTCCCAGTGCTAGGGGCCGGGGTTTGGTCCCTGGTCGGGGAACTGGATCCCACGTGCTACAGCTAAGACTTGGCACAGCCAAATAAATATTTTTAAAAAAGAAGAATAAATCTGCCATGTGCCTATGGCCTCTGGGGTCTGGAGGATGGGAAGTGATTTGCTCACCAGTCAGTGCAGTAGTCACAGCCCTTTCCTGCCCCCTCCTCAAAATGCCAATCTCTGTGGGGAGACGGGGACCCAGACTTCCCAGTGCCGCCTGCCACACGTGCCCTCCACAGCTGGCTGTGAGTTGGGATCCGTCTTTTTCTTTCCTACTAGTGTTTCTGCTTGGCTTTCTCTGTACTTGCCATTCATCTGTCTCCAAATTCCCTTCCAGAGGACCAGTCAGCTCTAGGGGGTGTTAACACCCAGAGACCTCCAACCCATGGGTGGGAGATGCAGGCTGAGGCTTCTACACAAGACCATCTGATTTCCAGCCTGGCTCCAGTCCCCAAGGCTTGCGGCAGCTCTGCCGGCCAATCAGCTGCCCCTCACTCCTGGCCCCTCCCATTCTCCAAACATCCTCCAGGAGTTTTTAGAGGGGCCGGATGCATCATTCCCAGGGTCTTACCTCCAAAGGCTTTTGAGTCTTCCCCTGCGGCCCCTGGGACTTGTTCCACTCTGGTTCCCATCTGCAAGGAGCAGGGGGGTTTGCCCAACGTGCACTCTGAATTTTGAAGGGTCCTACTGGAATGTGGCCCATCACTGGGGCTGGTTCCCCAAGGGTGAGGATGAATCCCCTAGTGGTCTCCCTGGAAAACCCTGTTTTCATTAAGAAGGTGCCAGGCACCCAGTACCAGGGAAAGCCAACATTCCTTATCTCCAGTGCGACTCCTTCAACCAGGGTTTACCATGCAATGAGCCTATCCTGGCTCCCCAACCCCTTCCCACCCCGTCCCACCCCCACCACTGGGCCAGATGACCCCTTCCATCCCTGCAGCCTCACTTAGTCTCTGGGGTCACTACTACTTCTTATCTGACTCCTTTATGAGGCTGTGAGCTCTTTGGGGCTCTGCCATCCAATCAGGCCACTTAGAGGCTGTCCCCAATGGGCGCTTAAGCAATAGTTGTTGGATAAATAGTGAATGAGATCGTGGTTTAATTCTCCTATCAGCCATGTGATGTGGATGAAGTCTGTGTGGCCAGCGAGCTGGGGAAGGAAATCCAGATCTATAAAGCAAATCTAATTGTTTTGGTTCTTCGGGTTTGTGATGAGCCAGTGGAGACTGGCAAATACATCTGTGTGGAACTGGGGGGCAAAGACATTCAGGTGCGGTGGAGAAAGCCCAGGGGTGGGGCACGGGCACTGTCCAGCTTCCACAGTTGGGGGCGGCCTGGGGACGCTCGGGGAAAAAGGAGTCCAGTGCTTCTCAGCTTTTAGGATCAGTGTTGTTGACTGAAGTTGCTTTTCCCACTTCTGTATGTGTAGATTTATTTCAGGATGTAAAATGCATTTCTTACTGTGGTTATGTCTACAGAAAGAGTTTGAAATTTGCTGGATGGTGTTGCGATTATTTTTGTTTTCGTACACTCTTAAGTCTTTTAACTTGGCAGGAGAAGTAATACATATTTTTCTTCCTATTGTTCTTAGGTCTTAGAGTTCTCCAGAGAAACAAAAGCAGGAGGAAAAGAAATGTACATATGTATGTACGTATAGAAAAATATAGGATATATATATGTATATATGGGCTTCCCTGGTAGCTGAACTGGTAAGGAATCCACCTGCAATGCGGGAGACCTGGGTTCGATCCTTGGGTAGGGAAGATCCCCTGGAGGAGAGCATGGCTACCCACTCCAGTATTCTTGCCTGGAGAATCCCCATGGACAGAGGAGCCTGGCGGGCTCCATGGGGTCCCAAAGAGTTGAACACGACTGAGTGACCAAGAACAGCACATACACACCACATATGTGTGTATATATAAGCGAGAGGGGGAGAGAGGGAATTTACTTTGAGAAGTTGGTGCATGTGACTGTGGGGCTGGCAACTCTTGAGTCCTGTATGGTAGCTGACAGGCTGTGGATCTGTTCAAGAGAGGATATTGCCCAAATCCTGGAGGCAGCAGACTGGAACCACAGGCAGTGTTTCTAGGATGCGATCTCGGGAATCCCTGCTACTTCAGGGCCCTCAGTCTTCGCACTGCTGTTCAGTTGCTAAGTCGTGACCGACTCTGCGACCCCCACAGACTGCAGCACGCCCGGCTCCCCTGTCCTCCACTGTCTCCCGGAGTTCGCTCAAACTCGTGTCCATTGAGTCGGTGATGCCATCCAACCATCTCATCCCCTGTCACCTCCTTCTCCTGCCCTCAATCTTTCCCACATCAGGGTCTTTTCCAATGAGTCAGCTTTTTGCATCAGGTGGCCAAAATATTGGAGCTTCAGCATCAGTCCTTCCAATGAATATTCAGGGTTGACTTCCTTTAGGACTGACTGGTTTGGTCTCCTTGCTGTGCAAGGGACTCTCAAGCGCCTTCTCCGTCACCACAGTTCAAAACCATCAGTTCTGTGGCACTCAGCCTACTTTATGGTCAACTCTCACATCTGTACATGACTACTGGGAAAACCATACCTTTGACCAGACAGACCTTTGTCGGCTAAGTGATGTCTCTAGCTTTTTAATATGCTGCCCCTTTGCCCTTAAGGCCTTCAACTGGTTGGATGTGGCCTACCCACACTGTGGAAGGTAATCTGCTTCCCTCAAAATCTGTTGATTTAAGCGTGACTCTCACCTGCAATAGGCCTTCACCGCGACTTCCAGGCTGGAGTGTGAAGGGCACACACACCCAGCCCGGTTGATGCAGAGCCTTAACCACCGCAGGTGTCCGGCCTCCGTCTGAATTTTGACCTCCTCTCTCCGGGTCAGGAAGGGAGAGGTCACCCTTGCGCTGGTATTTTTCAGTGGCTTAAGGAGAGTGTGTGGGTGCATTCGAGCAGCCTCTGTGAGCCTCGGGGCTCTTCAGTCCACGTGGGGTCTTCCGGGCGCAAGGCTGTCCCTGCGGGGAGCAGGACGGCCCGCGCACCTCGGGGTCAGCTACAGTGCTTCTCAGACTGTCTGGCAGCCATCTGACCGTCCAGTGAGCTTCTGGACAGCAGGGATGTGTGTCCATCACATCACATTTGGGTCACCAGGAGCCACCAAAGGCGGTCCAGGGAGAGCTGGGCGTGTGGCTGGGGGCCTGTTTCTCTCGCGTCATCTGGGTGGTGGCCGTGGAGGGGGCCAGGAGGGAGTAGGGGCCGTGAGATAGGCCCACACTTGTGCTCTATCGTCGTTTAGTCGCTCAGTTGTGTCTGACTCTTTCGCGACCCCACGGACTGCAGCCCACCAGGCTCCTCTGTCCGTGGGATTCTCCAGGCAAGAATACTGGAGACGGTTGCCATGCCCTCCTCCAGGAGATCTTCCTGACCCAGGGATCGAACCTGTGTTTCCTGCACTGGCAGGTGGATTCTTAATCACTGAGCCACTAGGAAGGTTTTTGTTTATTTCAGGTCCGTTCAAAATGCAAATTCAAGATGAAAAGGCATTAAAAGACTTAAAGTGCTCCTAAGTTCCTCCCTGATCCCAGGTGAGGGGAGGTGTGCGGATTCTCCCCTTCCGCCTTTCACCAAGTGTCGCCAATCACTCAGCTCGAGGCCTTGGCTCCCAGTCACCCTTTCAGTTCTTCACCTGGCTGGCTGACAAGGTTCTGACCAGTGCTGCCTGCAACTCCAGACCTTTCTATTAGCTAGGAAGTGGGCAACCCTTGGCACCCTCCTCTCCCCTTCCTGAGGAGGGGGAGATGGCTTGTAAAGGTCTGGTGGGGACATGCCACTCAGAGCAAAGCAGAGCTGCCCATCTCCCTGCGCCATTTATCAGCTTGCATTTTTGTGTGAGATAAGACCTTCTGTCTTACATCAGCCACTATGACTTGGTATCTCCTTAGGAAACTGAGTCAATGTCCTAACTAATACGGGAGGCCTTTCTCAGCTGGGCTGATCAGCATTTGCACTTGGCTGCTGATGACTGAGCACTGGCCACAGCCGCATAAAACAGATCTGGAGGTAGTGGGCTTGGTGTTCTATGAAGACACCAGGGACCCAGGGACTCCTGCCTTTCTTATCTGCCATCCTAATACATGGGCTGCATCTTCCAGGTCACAAAACAGCTGCTGGTGCTCCAGCCCTCCCATCTTTGTTCCATGCAGGAAGAAGGGCAAAAGCAGTAGGCAAAGGGGCTTCTTCCCCTCTTTTAGGAATTCCCAGAGGCTCCTTTCACTGACTTCCACCTTTATCTCTTTCACCACCCCTACATTTCAGAGAGAACTTTGTTACTACAGCAGAATGGGGAATGGGTATTGGGAGGCAACTAGGAAGCCTTGCCTAGAGAAAGTTGTGAACTAGAGCCACAAATCAGCAACAAGACCAAGACCTCCAGTTGGAACCAACCTTTGAGACTGGGTGGTACAGGGTTGGGAGCCTGGCTACTGTCAGACAGACCAGAAGGAGTCAGGACCCCCGTTCTCTGGCTGTGTGGCTTTGGACAAAGTCCTTAACCTCTCTGAGCTATTCCTTCCTCCCTTAGCTCTTGCTGCACTGAGGGGATCCCAGGAAATAAGGGAAAAAGCTGTGCAAACCACAGTGGGGTGCCCAGGAAGCCATAGCAGCGTCGCCCCCCTGCTCCTTGGCCAAGCACGAGGAGCAGACACTGAGACGCAGGCTGCTTCTCCAGCATCCTGGCCGGTTCGTTTCCTCCCCTGAACCATGTGGGTTGGATGTCTGCCCCACTGGCTGAGCCCATCTGTCACTTTTATTACAAATTGCCACTCAATTGGCTTAACCCAAAGCCTGTTACCCCAAATAACCTGAGTGATTGCTTGCGAACCCAGGCTCAATACTCCTTCCACGCTTCTCACCCACGGCCCCAGGGAGCTCCCACAGGGGGCCTGAGTCACTCTCTCCCAGGGCCGGGGGACCAGCCCCCTTAAAAATTCTGTCTGTTCCCCCAAGGATTTCAGAGACCGGGTTTCCTGTTGGTGCCACCTTGAGACAGGGCCTGGGTTTGAGTGTCTGCTCTTGGCCTGGCCTTGGGGCTCCTTGGGGGGCTCTCCCAAGTCTGAATCTGAGGCTGGGAGATGTGAGGGCAGGGGGTGGTGGGGTGCTCCCCCACCTCCCCTGCAGATGGTCTAGAGATAGCAGCTTTCGTGTGGATTTCCAGGAACTGGGGCCGAGCAGGCCGGTGAGTCCCACGTGGGGTGGAGACCGCAGGGCTGCAGGGCCGGCCTTCCTGACCCGGGGACCCCGGGCTGTCCCTGCGTCCAGGCTCCGGGGAAAAGGACTCGGGGTGAGAGAATCAGGTCCCTGCCGCCCAGGTCATTTGCTCTCCCGTGAAGACCCTGGTCCCTCCCGTCCTTCCCACTTGGGAGGGCGGTGCACGGGCTCGGATCAGACACACGTGGGCCCTGTTTCCCTGCTCAGGAGTCGTGTCTCCCTGGGAGGGGCTCCGAACTATCCCTCCCCACGCAGTTTTTGCATCCGCAGACCTCTGTATGTCCAGAGTGCCCGCCGCGGGGCTGGGACTGGACACCAGGGGGTCAGCCCAGGACTCGAGGGCCCCTTGGTCCTGCCGAGGAGTCGGATGAGCCCAAAGGCTGCAGCCTACCACCCTGCCGCCGGATGTTGTGACTTCCTGGGCGTCCACTGCGTACACGGACCTCAGTCCCCATTGTAGGGAGTCTCAGTCTAGCAGGAGAGACGGCGGACGGAGGGAATGCAGATGGGGCCATGGGGCTGTAAGTGTGGCTGTAGGTGTAGATAGATGCTGGGCGAAGGGGCGGGGGAGCTCCCGAGGAGGTGGAGCCAGCACCCAGGGTGACAGGGAATTACCCAGATTTGGGGGCAGGGAGCTGGTAAAATGTTCCAGATGGAGGAGGTGGTGGAGCCAAGGTCAGGGGGTGAATGAGGGCAGGTGTGGGTGGTGCTTGGGTGCAGCGGGAATGGCTGGGCATTGGGGCCAGGCCTGCAGGAAAGCGTGGTCTTGACCCCTGGCCAGGAGTCTGGGCATCATTCCAAGAGTACAGGTCAGGGGAGGGGGCAGTCCTTGGTTTGAATCCCTCTGGCCTTGAGGGGCCATGAGGCATGCCAGCAGGGCCCCTGGATGCAGAAAACCCAGGAGGTGGACCATTTCCAAAGTTAGACGGGGTGTCAGAGGGCAGAGCTGAGTAGCCCAGGAGGTGTCCGGGACTCCCCAAGTCATGCGGGGGCTCCCCGCAGTGGAGGGGGGTGGGTGTGCGCTGAGGTGTGAGGTCTGGGGGCCCAGTGCATGGAGTGAGTGTTCAGCTCAGCTTGGGGCTCCCTCCTGCCCCCCTCCAGAGCAGCACGTGCCCTGAGGGGCTGTGACCTCCACGCCCTGGGTGGGCGCCCCGCCCTTCCAGCCGCTCACCGCCAGCGCCGTCTGCACCGCTGACGCCTCTGACACTCTCTGCCCCGTGGGTTCCAGCCCCGGGGGTCCCTCGCGGGGTCATCTCCAGAACGTGGTCGGACAGGGGAGGCTGGAGTGAGGGAGCCATGGACTGAGGAGGCCCAGAGGGACCAGGGGGTGTGCCAGGCCCAGGGGCCCCCACATATCACACACCGCATGGCCTCCCCCACGGGGCCCACGTGGCCGGAAACAAAGGCTTAGGACCTGGCCCGACCCGGCATTGCTAGCTGGCTCGGGGGACAAGACACAGGCCACACAGGGTGGCTAGGCTGGGTCCACGGCCGGTGCGGCCCCTGGAAAAAGGGTGCTCACACTCAGAGCCCCTCTGAGCTCCCTGTTTCCCCCTGCACAGCCTGCAGGGTCGGGGGCTTTGAGTGACGAGTCGGGAGGGGCTGGGGGGCTGGCGGAAGCCACAGGGTGGGGGACGCGGGTCTGGTGGGGTTGAGCTGGGGGCTTGGTGTGGCCTGGGGCCCACCGCTGCTGCTGTGTCAGTGTCCCGGGGCTGGTGGGACACCCAGATTTCACCTGTCACGGCTCTGGGAGCCAAAGTCGGAAGTCAGGGTGTCTGCCGGGCCCTGCGCCCTCACGAGGCTCCCGGGAAGAGTCCTCCCGGCTCCCGCCAGCTCTCGGTGCTCCCCGGCGCGTGTCCCGCCGCTGTCTTCTCCCCAGTCGGCACGTCATCCACTCTCTGCGCCCAGATTTCCCCTTCTCATCAGCACCCCGGCTTGTGGGCTGAGGGCCCACCCGAGTGACCTCAGTTTAACGTGATCCCCTCTGCAAAGGCCCTTTCTCAGTGTCAGGTCGCATTCCCAAGTCCTGGGCGTGAGGACCCTCCAGCCTGTGAATCTGGAGGCTCGGTTCAGCCTTCCACAGCTGCCGTGGTTCTGGGCATGCACCCTGTCACATGCCTTCCACACGGCAATTGTCCCCATTGCAGAAGCAGGAAAATCAAGACCCCACATCACGAGGAGGCAGCCCCTCCTCGTGACTTCTGGGTCGAGGCACCTGCCTCCAGGCCCTGCACCTCCGTGCCCAGGGGGTTGGGGAGGTACAGACTGTTCTGTTTGGAGGAAAGGAATTTCTGTCTTGGTGTAACATGAGCTGCTCAGGAGACCCCAGGTTTGGAAGAGCCTCTCTGTAACAGAGGGGAACAGTTTTCTCTTTGTAGTGAGAGGCCCCCTGCTGCTCACCAGGAAGGTGGGGCCGTGTGCCAGATGGCTGCGTGCTGAGGGTCCTGGGCCCCTCTCTGGGCACAGGCTTTGGTCTGCAGGGCTGGCCAAAGCCCTGATGATGTCTCCTGCCAGTGTGTTAGTCACTCCACCATGCCTGACTCTCTGCGACCCTATGGACTGCAGCCCACCAGTCTCCTCTGTCCATGGGATTCTCCAGGCAAGAATACTGGAGTGGGTTGTCATTTCCTTCTCCAGGGGATCTTCCCGACCCAGGGACTGAACCCAGGTCTCCCGCACTGCAGGCAGATTCTCTACTGTCTGAACCACCAGGGAAGCCCAGTGATGTCTCCCGGCTGCCTTGCTAATGGCCCTGGGGTAATCTCTAGACCAGGGTCAGACGTCATCCTTGCCTTGTCTCCGGTGGCCTGCAGACCCGAGTCCCCTGGGGTGTCTGGGGAGCCCAGGCTAGCTTTGTCCCAGTGTGGTTGACCCCTCCAAGCTGGTCTGGAGCAAGTGCTAAGGTCTGGGCCTGGCTCCATCCACAATAAGCTGTGTGGTCCCAGGATACTGACTGGCCCTCTCTGGGCCTGCGTTTTCTCCTTTGTTAAACAAGGGCATTCCAAGGTCTCTCTCCAGATATGCCAAAAAAATTGTAGAAGCTTTCTACAAACTCTTCACTTTCATTTTATTAAAGTATCACAGGCCACGCTGTCCAACAGAAAATATAACGAGGCCACATACGCAACTTAAATTTTCTGGTAGCTGCATTAAAGAAGTAAAAAGACACAGGTGCAGATAATTAAACCATCATTCCCTCTAATGTGTTCTAGATCATTATCATTTCGGCGTGTAATCAACATCAAGATTGGGGACAGTTTATATTCTTGGTGCCATCTTTGGATTCTGACATGTGTTTCACACTTGTGCACATCTCAGTTCAGAGGCAGAAATTTCACTGGAAATACTTGGCCAGAAGCCCCGCCCTGGCTCGCAGAACAGCGCCGCCCGGAAGTGTGGCTTGGTGCATTTGGTCCACTGGTGGCATTCCCTATGGAAGCAGCTGGTTACCTGTGGCCTCATCTGGGACAGCATCTTCCAAACCACGTTCCCGGTTGTGTGAACAGGTGGTTCTCAAGTCACCACTTGAATCAGATTTTCTTGGGAGCATGTGTGCTAAGTCGCTTCGATCGTGTCCGACTCTTTGAGACCCCATGGACTGTAGCCCACCAGGCTCCTCTGTCCACCGGATTATCCAGGCAAGAACACTGGAGTGGGTTGCCATGCCCTCCTCCAGGGGATCTTCCCCACCCAGGGACTGAACCCTTGTCTCTTACATCATCTCTAGCATTGGTGGGTGGGTTCTTTACCACTAGCACCACCTGGGAAAAGCCTCTTTCTTGGGAGACGTCTGGTCACATGAAACTCAGCAGGTTTTGCTTTGATTGCAGGACTTCTCAGAGCCTTTGATGTGGCCATGAGAAGTGTAAGTAGGTGAGGTAGGGAGTCCCCTTGCAGCCAGCACACTGCGACCCTGGGCCTGATACTCTGAGGCAAGAACTGAGTCGTACTTATCCCTGTGTCTCCAGGCCACTTTGGCACAGAGTGGCCCCCTAGGTATACCCCGCCCACAGCAGGCAGAGACCTGGCAGAGATCAGTCATTATGAATTTAAAAAAAATCTGGCTAAAGGACTTCCCTGCTGGTCCAGTGGTTAAGAATTCACTTGCCAATTCAGGAAGATGCCGCTTGGATCCCTGGTCCAGCAAGATCCCACCTGCTACCGGGTGACTAAGTCCGTGCGCCCCAACTGCTGAGCCTGTGCTCTGGAGCCCGTGTTCTGCCACAGAGAAGCCCAACACCGCAACCAGAGGGCAGCCCCCACTCACTGCAGCTAGAGAAAGCCCCTGCAACAGTGCAGACCCAGCACAGCCAAAAGCAAACACATTTTAAAAAATTGGGCTAAAGAGAAGAGTGACAACAAAGATACATTAAAGCTCACGGGAACGGTCAGAACCTCCGCTTAGAGGATCAGGGAAGACTGCCTGGAGGAGGTAACATCTGAACTGCGCCTGAAAGGTAAACCTACCAAGAATAGGGTAAGGGACGGGGAAGATACTTCTGACACCCGAAGACCCAGAGGAGCCCTGTGCGTGGTCTGATGCCCAGAGAGGTGTGTGGGGTGTCGGTAGGGGAGTGTGAGAGGCTGCCTGGGATGCAGGGCACTGCAGTTCACCCCTCACTCTGTGTGGGTCAGTGCTCCCCTGGTGGGGCGGGTCGGGGAGCGGTCCTGCCCTGGAATCCCCGGGAGTTTGCTAAACCCCAGCCTGAGACGCTGCATGCTGACAAGCTCCCAGGGGACTCTGGGCCCCGTGTCTGGTTTTCTCCCCAACAGGCACATAGACCATTGTATCTCTCAGCCTTGCAGTGGGGGCAGCAGATGACTGGTCCTGATGAATATGAAGTGGAAAGAATGGAGCGGTGGAAAATTCTGGACGATGCTCCGACCTTTCTCCCCTGACTCTGAAGACTGAGGGTTCTGCAGGTACCAGATGGAGCAGTTATAGTATGGTAGAGCCTCTATTAGCCCGGGCCCCCGGGTAGAGCCTCCATCAGCCTGGGCCCCCAGGTAGAGCCTCCATCAGCCTTCGTCCCCGGGTAGAGCCTCCATCAGCCTGGGTCCCCGGGTAGAGCCTCCATCAGCCCGGGCCCCCAGGTAGAGCCTCCATCAGCCTGGGCCCCTGGGTAGAGCCTCCATCATCCTGGGCCCCCGGGTAGAGCCTCCATCAGCCTTCGTCCCCGGGTAGAGCTTCCATCAGCTTTCATCCCCGGGTACAGCCTCCATCAGCCTTCGTCCCCGGGTAGAGCCTCCATCAGCCTGGGCCCCCGGGTAGAGCTTCCATCAGCCTTCGTCCCCGGGTAGAGCCTCCATCAGCCTGGGCCCCCGGGTAGAGCCTCCATCAGCCTGGGTCCCCGGATAGATCCTCCATCAGCCTGGGCCCCCGGGTAGAGCCTCCATCAGCCTTCATCCCCAGGTACAGCCTCCATCAGCCTGGGCCCCCGGGTAGAGCCTCCATCAGCCTTCATCCCCGGGTATAGCCTCCATCAGCCTTCATCCCCAGGTACAGCCTCCATCAGCCTTCGTCCCCGGGTAGAGCCTCCATCAGCCTGGGCCCCTGGGTAGAGCCTCCATCATCCTGGGCCCCCGGGTAGAGCCTCCATCAGCCTTCGTCCCCGGGTAGAGCTTCCATCAGCCTTCATCCCCGGGTACAGCCTCCATCAGCCTTCATCCCCAGGTACAGCCTCCATCAGCCTTCATCCCCAGGTACAGCCTCCATCAGCCTTCGTCCCCGGGTAGAGCCTCCATCAGCCTTCGTCCCCGGGTAGAGCCTCCATCAGCCTTCGTCCCCGGGTAGAGCCTCCATCATCCTGGGCCCCCGGGTAGAGCCTCCATCAGCCTGGGTCCCCGGATAGAGCTTCCATCAGCCTGGGCCCCCGGGTAGAGCCTCCATCAGCCTTCATCCCCAGGTACAGCCTCCATCAGCCTGGGCCCCCGGGTAGAGCCTCCATCAGCCTTCATCCCCGGGTATAGCCTCCATCAGCCTTCATCCCCAGGTACAGCCTCCATCAGCCTTCATCCCCAGGTACAGCCTCCATCAGCCTTCATCCCCAGGTATAGCCTCCATCAGCCTTCGTCCCCGGGTAGAGCCTCCATCAGCCTTCGTCCCCGGGTAGAGCCTCCATCAGCCTTCGTCCCCGGGTAGAGCCTCCATCAGCCTGGGCCCCTGGGTAGAGCCTCCATCATCCTGGGCCCCCGGGTAGAGCCTCCATCAGCCTTCGTCCCCGGGTAGAGCTTCCATCAGCCTTCATCCCCGGGTACAGCCTCCATCAGCCTTCGTCCCCGGGTAGAGCCTCCATCAGCC